ATATGCAGGGCTTCATTCAATAATCAAGAACATCCACATGCATACAACTAATTTTCATGCACATAACCATGCAGCAATTTCAGAAGTTAATATCAACTATCTAAAGTTGATAATTTTTCTAAACATATGTTACGGTCACAAAGGTTCGTACGAACGATAATTTCGTAGGAATCCTTCTGTTTTTCCATTGTCTTCCCGAATTTCCATTGTCTAAAAATCGTTCGTACGGCGTTCGTAGCAGTTCGTAATGGCATTTGTGACCGAGGCTTTTATTAAACATGGCCCGGTAATTAAGGGCAGTCTCACATCCTTACGCTCTTCATCACGAAGTAGGGCCTTTTCCGAAAGTGACTCGGTAACATTGCCTCAGATTCTGAAACAAAATCCTGGATTTAGCTCATGGTGCAATCATAATTATAAACCTTTAGGTCAGTCAGGAATCCCATGGCTTTTACAAGCAAATCGCCAGTCTGATTATCAAGATATTTATGATTGGAAATCGAAATTTCAAAATTCGTTTTCCTAACGGTTGTTATAACACTACCGTCTACTGGGGGAAATGAAAAACCGGTCACTTAAAAATTGTGAACTTTTTTGAGGCACTTCATGATCATTTTGAAGCGCAATTTGTTTAGGGCTTCAATATTACACCATATCACAGCCAATGATAATACGTAGGGTCATGCATCTCAGATTTAACATTGTAAAACGATGCCTTTAAGCAAGAGCACGAAGAAATAAGCACGGGGAGCATCAAATCGTCCCCTGCCCATTTCCTCTTCTCTACACCTTAATCTGGTATTTGTTTTATTAAAATCCTGTCGTCAATATTAAACAATACACACTAATTATTGTTATAAGCTAATAAAATCCTAACATTTGATGGCTGTGAAAACAATTCTCTAAGATCTGTGTGAGTTTTATTGATGACAAGTTTTATGAGACAGGGCCCATGTCGTTTTTGGCCCATTCATTTAATGTCCTCCAAATGTTTATCCGCCCCTTCCCACAGTACAGGTTGTGTACCATGAGTCGACTCAGAATAAATTCCGATTATTAATGTTCTCTACACTTCAGAATTGAAAAGGATGATTTACCTTCGACTTATAATTATGATGATAATGACGATGATGATGTTTGGTTATACAGTATGTTTATGCTCAGGTATTCAAACACAAAATGATAGAAATGAAACTGATATCAATCATTATTTGAGCAATCGAGGCATTGAGAAAGCGGAAAAATCTAATCAAAATTTCCAATTATTTGTCTAAATTTTGTGGTTCTTTATCGGTTGTTAGTCAAGTGTGTTGCACAATGCATATTCGTTTGCATTGAATATCTTAGGATTTTGCGAAATCCAATTGATTTCAAAGATGTATAGATTAGAGCAAGCTTATTTTGAATGACATCGAAAAACAAAACGACCTGTTATGTAACAGTGGAGTAAAGGCATGTTTTTGACGAAGGAAATTGCGAAATTAATGATCATGTGCCAAAGAACATTGAGCAATATCCTGAAAGTCAGTTCTGAAATAACAATTTTGTGAACTATCATTTCCTCTATTGAGAGGCCGGGAGACTGGAAAATCAAAACATTGGCACGACTGAGGATTGTTTAAAGGGCAATCCAACATTAGTAAGAAGTTCATTTATCTGACAGGAGAAACATAAGACAAACAGGAGATGAAATGTTTGCTTGAAGAAAAAAAAGGTTAGGACTGTTTCAAATATGAAATCACTACCACTTTGCAAAAATTAAAATAGCAATTATGTTTGGGGATTGTGACGTAGTCACGGACAACACCCCCGTTTGTCATTAACGAAGATTTAATCAATGTCTGGTTTTCTCCTGTAATGGTTCTTATTTGATTAAAAACATACCTCAAGACTGTAACATTCTCCTCTCTTTCTACTTTTCATTTTCTACTCTGTCCTTCTCTACCCCCTCTTCTCCAATCTTTCGTACATTTTCTGATCAACTTTTCTTTCTTTCTTATCTGTTCTCTTCCTCTTTCTAGTTCCGTTTTTTGTTTCTCTCCTTTCTTTTTAACCTTTGATGACACAGCCTTTTTTATGCTTTTAATATTTGTAATATATATATATTTTGATGTAATATTTGAGTTTTATTTTGTTTCATTATGCATTATTTATTGTTGTACGTTGTTTAAGTCATTCATATTTGTATCGTTTATTGTGTTGTACATTGACTTTGTAAATTGGGCAATTTCAGCTTTTCAGCTGCATGTTCTTTTAGGGCAATAAACCGAATCAATTCAATTCAATTATGATGCTGTATCAGGTTCGCTCTTTTCATGCCCCTCGCACGGTTGGCGTTACTGATACACTGTATAAATAGGTTCAGTTCGGGTCCCTGCATGGCAATGCAGTCATTGCGTTTGGTCGGGGTTTTTTTCTCTTTTTAATTCTGAGTACGAACGGTGGCCTAACAAGTGAGATTTGAAACGCGATCTATTTTTTTTTTTTTTATTTATTTATTTATTTTTTTTTTTTTTTTTTTTATTATTATTATTTTTATTTATTTATTTATTTGTTATTTTTTTTTTTGGGGGGGGGGGGGTGAATGGGCCTATTTTCAATCAGGAATCTGTCGATAACTTAGTCTGTGTGATTAATAAAATTTAACTCAGAAAACAAGGATTCTTAAGCCTCTCGAGTTAAAAGTAGTAACTTTAAAAGTAAAGTCAAAGATAAAAGAAATAGACGGCATGTTTTGATATCAAATTGACTTTCAACGAAAGTTTGATAAATCTGGTGATATGAAGAACGAATTTAACAGAGTCAACAAACAAAAATACGCTACGAAATTCGGTTAATGAGTGCATTCGACGCAAAAACAAATTATTATTTACGATCTTTTGATGATATGTCGGCTTATTGGAACATTATTAATTCCTCAAACAATTCGAAAGAGAGCACAAAGTTGAATACATCGAAAACCTACATGATCATTTTCGTTATTTGAGTTGAAATTCTAATGAAATATTTAATGTATTTATTGATAATGAACTTCCCAAAAAGTCCCATGAAGAGTCGTTGAATGCTCTAAGTACTATCGATGATGTGGTTAATCATATTGTTTGTTAATGGATAAGCCCACGGAGTATAAAAGATAATGTTAATAAATGAATGTTTAAAATGTTTTTCAAATTCTTGCCTAAATAGTATAAGAATATTCTTCAATATTGTATTTGGTAATGGCATCGTCCGACGATCAGCCATGCACCAATCTTTTTTGTGCATGGCTGATCGTTAACAAAACGGAGTTAAGTCTTTTGTCAACTCTGTATGCTGCTACGACAGGCAGCCAGTGAAAATGAACTCGTTTAATCAAATTATGGAAATGCAAGCATTACTTTAAACAAACATAACTTTGTTACTCCTGGCTCATATTTCTTAATTGAGGTGTCATATGAAAGGGCAAAAATTGAACTTCGTAGAAATGGGATTTTTGTCCTTAAAATTTAGATACCGCCCTATAAATGATCACTTAATCACTCATGCGCGAAATATATATACATCATATGAGTTGCATCAAATGAAAAAGGATGATCTAAGAAATAACAAATATGTGTAATTTATTAATTATAATTGTGATTAAGTTATTATAAAACATTAATAATTCTCGGTTGTGTTTTTTGGGGGACGCACTGTATATCTCATATTTGGAAAGATATCAGTACACTTCTTGTGAAGTATTCGTATTAAATTAAAAGTTTGCATCGTGCTTTTTCATAAATGGATCTCATTGAGTTTGCTCTTCATCTTCATGTTTGTTAAATAGTATTATTCCTTGCATAATTGACCATCTGAACCAAAGTTTTTTTGTCAAAGAACAAAACAAAAACAATTCAACCTGAATGTCATTTTCGCAACAAGGACTTAAATATAAAATATAAAATACGAATTTCAATATTTTGTTATGGCGGAAGCTAAAATTATATTATATTTACTTGTTGCAGCAATATAAAAATGAATTCATCATATTGACATGGACAACATTAACTTTCACTTGAATTGATATAATTGGGTTGTTTAATGGTTGTAAATTATGAAAAAAAATATGATGTAGTGCACTGTAGTGAAATGAATTCTTTTGCAATTATTTTCGGGTTGACGTCACTCAGATGTTGGACACAGTAATGTGTTACAAACTAATGTTGTGTTCAATTAGGGCATGTACCCATATAATAAAGCGTTTTGGTATCTGGCGCTTTTGCTTTTTTCTTTAACATTAACTAAACGAATGTTTAGTCAAAGTAACGGCGTGTATGTAACCTACATCATGACATGACTCATAACGTTTGGTTTTTCATCTTGTTCTTTCTCTCTTTATTTCTCTTCTTGTTCTTCCCTCATTTGTTTCTTCTGTCATAGTTCTGTCTAGTCTCCTTTTCTTTTATTTTTATGTTCCGCTTCCCTCGCATTCTGTGTGTGTATTGTGTTGTTACAGACGTGTGTCAATCAAATATGGTTATTTACGTCTGAGGGCCGACCTTTAAACCTCACCATCAGAAAGACGTGACTCAGTTTCGAACCTGCGTCCTCGGCTGAATCAGTTTGTAACTTCCACTGTTAGCTGGATTTTAGGCGCACGCAACTACGCCTAGTTCTCTCTTCCATTATTACCTGCTTATTGATCTTTTCACAAGGACTCTATCTGCTTTCATTACGTTTAAAAGAAATATATATATTTGGGCAGGTCATGTTCATTGGAAATTCGAATTGCAAGAAGGATATCCAAAATAACTTTAAAAGTAAGTAAACCCCCCTTTTTAAATTGAAGTATTAGGACACTGAACCTTCAACATATTATAATCATACTCTATAATAGTGGCAAATTCTTATACAATTGTTAAAGAAACTTTAACCTAACGACTATAAAACACAATACATCAAGCAAGAATTCGGATTTATGTATATATTATTTATTCTACATGGAAGTATTACGGAAGAATAAATAATTTAAAAAAAAACAATCTTAAAATCCATTGCTTACTCAAGTGTAAAATAATGTTAGTATCATACAATTGAAAAGAGCCCCACCTATAATTGTGTTATAAAAAATCAGATCATGCAAACTTAATAAAATTATGATTTGGGATCATATTTTCAAAGTGTGTATATCTGTATACGCACTGTACAGAGATTATCTACAGGGTGCAATATTTACTATATGTTTTGTTACTCTTATGTCTATCATAACATTTTACCTTTGCTCATTTTCATCACAAACATGATTATACACTAGCTCTATAATTTCATACGGTATAAGCAAAGCATGCAATAACTGATTAACAATGAATAGCTTGTTTCAACAAATTTGGGTAAGGGAATAATTTGCATTCATTAACCGTTTACAATATAGCACATTCTATACATTAAACAGCATGCCACGATCTTCCCAACAGACTTTCCAGTACCATGTATTTTAATTCTTATTTAGTTCCATGTTATTTTAATAATAATATGGATTACATAGACATGTAATACGTATATTACCCACCTATTTAGTGGAATACACCTATTGCAAAATTTAAACTAAATTTTGTTCAATTTAAGCTACAACATTTATGTCACTTATAAAACACAGGGCTCCGTGAATTCGTCATGTACGTGTAGGACCTATATCGCGAATCATTACACACTATACAACAAAACCGCGATGTACCGCTTCATATTTGGAAGAGATAAATTGTTTTCTTCTTCTAGTTTGTGAATAGTTGGAGTTGAACGGAAGTACAAAATGTAAACTGTTAAAATAGATACGCAGTTTGCTAGGGAACCTTAACATAGCAAACAAATAAATAAATAAAATGTAACGTGATTTGCGAAAATGAGATCACTGCTTATATAGCTAATAGTTGAAGATAAAATTCATTAGACATAGAAGTGTACATGGTTATGCAATGTAAGATAGAACATCAAGCAAATGAAATAAAACGGTCTTAAAATCTCTGAATTTTACAATGTCTAGTCAGTTTACAGTAAAGCCTCGTTCAGATAATAAAGCGATAACCTTTTTGGGGGGTTTTGGTTTTTTTTTTAATTAAATGATTACAGAAAGTGCAATACGCTTTTATTTTTAACACCCAGATCAGTCTATACACGCAGGATATATATATATATATAACATCTTTTTGTTAACGCAGCCGTTTCTTTCGATGGTTAATACCGAGTCGTATCTGAACGAGCCTTAAGAATAAAAAATCAAACCGATAATTTAGATTTTCACAAGATTATTGTACAAACTATATGACATCTACATAGAAATACAAAACCTTCATATAAGGTCATATAATTAGAAAAATCCTTTCAATTTCGGTATTTACATTCAATACATATTTCTCATACCGGAGTGTGTGTGTGGGGGGGGGAGTGGGCTTTGATCCAAACATTTATTTCATGAGAAAATTCATTATTCAGGAAAACTAAAGATTGGGTTCATTATTCCCAAAGATTGTTATTCCAAGAATGTAATGTGGTTCGTAATATTAAACAGATAAGAATGCTTTATAATTTCGATGATAATATTGAATTTTATTCCATTCTCCTAATTATAAAAATTTCAAATTATGAAACCTTATTGATTTTCGTACTTACGAACATTTAAAATAATTAATTTCAACCAATGAAATGATATATCATTTAAATCTCATTTCCCCAAGAATGATAAAGGTCATCAAGTATTTATTCATAAAATACGGATTTCATAGTCCCTTTCATTTTATACATTCCCCAATGCACAGTGGTGCATGGACATTAAATTCTCATCCTCTCACGCGAGTTATGCCAGTAATATTATTTTTTTCCTATATTATTTGCTATTTTTGTGATCCAAATATACCATTTCAATACTTCCACTGAAATACCAAAAAATAACAAATATTTCCGCCATAAATTTCTCATCAACAATATCCATTCAATGCATGATTAAAATATTCATTGAGGAAAGACTACATTTATTTAATAAAATATGAATTTAGTTTAATGGCTGATTATGCAAATTGAACACCTTCCGAATAAAATGAAGTATCCATTTACTGAATCGAATCCTAAATTGGAGTACACAGAAATCAACTAGTCAATATATACATATTGATTTAGCAAAACGACAGATGCTTATGATAAAGGTCCATGACCTTTGTAATTCATTGTTAGTATGGTAAAGTGCCTACCCGATATTTTAAAAAAGAGAAGAAAATTCAATAGAATGAGAAGAGGAAAAGAGTGACGGAAGAAGAAAAAAGGGGACGAGACGGTGACTTTATAGGTTTAGTAAATTAACTGTTAAAAACACCAGCTTGTTCCTACTATCCCATTGATTACTAAAGATGTCCAAGAGATTCTAAACACCAAAGGAAAGGTCCAAATATCCTAGATAATCGAGCAAGATTATGTTAGTGTACAATGAAAGAGCCTCCCCCCTCCCCCTCCTCCTAATAACTCATATTGTCCTTTATGAGTGGAATACAAAAAATATATTTAGTCATAGAACCAAAATTATGAATATCAGTGGAGTCACTTTCGTTTTTTATTTAATGAATTAAAATTTGAGTGATACTGTAAAAAACCCAAAAATCATCCATTAGCGTTTTCTTCAGGAAGTAAGGACATTTTTTTCCAGAATTTTTTGTTGTTGTTGAGATATTCATTCCTTTCTTAATCGACCTTCATAGTATTCCTTCACGACAATTTTATGGTGCGCGTGCATATCTGATTCATTCTTTAGTCTAAGATCGTTCATTTTTTTGCGGTTTGCTTCCGACATATCTTGCAATCTTTCAGCACTCTCTAATTCTCTTTTCAAAGCCGCTTCTTTCATACTATCCATTTCCTTCTTAGTTTCTGTTTCACTTTCTAATCGCGCTTTAGCTTCAGCTATCTCCGCTTTTTTAAGCTCATGTTGGCCCTTTTCAATCTCTTTTTGCATCCCACTAACTTTTTTCTTCTCCCGTTTCTCCTCCACATTCTCCCTTCTTCTGTGGGCTGAAGCACCGGCTTCACCATCATCCTGACAACTGCCGATGAAATCACAAATACATGACCTTGTGTTATCATCGAGACTTTCATTCTTCGATGTGACGTTCTTAACGACGAAGATTTTTGCCGGGTCGATTTGCTCGTTTTCTAGGAACCCGATCATTTTTTTGACTTCTTCATCCGATATCGCATCTTTGTGGGTTATCACGATAGATGGTGGCCGCTCTATGTGTAAATAAGATAGACGTAAGAACAAATAACATGATAGAAAGAAATATAGCCAAAAATTTAGAGCTGAACCTAAAATATGTGTCAGTCATTAAACCATATCCTTATGATTGCATCACAATTTCGGGAAAAGTACACCAACGACTGGCGATGGGCAGTCAGATCTTCGTTCATGAAGATTTAACTCCCTTTGAGCTTCAATATACTTTGTAGGTAGCGAACTTTACCATGATGCTCTTCTCTTTTGTTGGTGTCTTCAGTTGCGGTCGTTCTTTTTTTCGGTGTCTATGACTAAGGTCGATGTCTTTCTTTTCAAGATCGATTTTCAGAAACGTTTTGGACAAGAAACTTACAAACTCATAAATTTCCTCCGAATGTGAGTTTTTGGCCCAGTAACGGCCAAATGACAACAATCTAACAGGATCTAAAAGCCTAACTCTATTATGAAAAGAGAAAAGGGAACGGCAACATGTACTACTGCATGTTTTTCTTCAGGAAATATCCTTTTAAAATGTATATAGTAATATAAGATGCGTTTTGTCTCTATAGTTGCTAACGATATTTACATAATCAATGTTAAGAAAAAATACTATCAGTTAAAAAAGGCCATAATTAGTTACAAAGGACAAGGCTGCTTCGAGAGAAAAAAAATGAATAGCAAGTAAATATAGGCCTACGTACTGGTATTTTGGCGGCATGTCTCGATGAGCTCAGTGATGTTTTCAACTGCGTCGATTCCTCCAACTCCGCTATAAAAGAAAAAAAAAGAAAAGAGTCGATGTCAAAACTCTTTCTTAGTATATTGCGTTATGTAAATTCTGAGAAAGAAAGAAATGCAGCGAAGAAATATAAGGATATTTAAGGTTATAACTGAAACCAGCACCAGACATTTCCTCTTTCATTTTCTTGACGAAAATGGTCCTCTTTATAGTCGGTTCAAGTCTGCGAATCTGTACATATTTTCATTTGGAGGTATCTGGTAAAACGTCCCTTATTTCCTCAAGTCTCAAGATAAAGAAATTGTTTGCGAAATTAAATTACTGAAATTCGAAGCTTTACCGTGATTAAAACATATCTTAGAACAGATGTGGTACTCCATGTAGCGTGTTCGGATGAGAGCCAGTGAACACAGTGGATATTTGTTTTTTACTGGACTTACGAATTGTTTGTTGGTATAGCTGCGTTAAAACACACCCATCAACATTAAAGATAAACTCCAGTACTGGTAAAAAAAAAAAAAAATTCTCACAGAATCAAACGAAACTTACACTGAATGTTCAAGATTACAAATAAATGACATGTGCCAAACAATTTTGGAAGAAAATGTATACTGGCTGAGTAATGAGCATAGAAAGACAAGGAAACCAAGGTAGTACCATCCCCGACAGCATGTGTGTTGTCCCATATGTAGCTTTCTATGTGAGTGTTTGTTACTTTACCAAGACTTGGTCAAATTTATTATGATTTTGATGATTCCAGAACCTTGCAGTGCACACCAATACTTACATGCTCCATGATCAACTGTTTCTGATCCTTTCACACCTTTTCTTTCACAATGCAATCGCATTACCAGTACTAAAGTTTATCTTTAATATATATATATACATATATACAGTGCGTCCCTTGTCAATAAAGTGGGTTGACGAGCATCCCCTAGGGGGGCATTATTTCTTAGGGAAAGCGTACTGCCAGCCACACTTGAACAGAGGTGCTAACGAGTAGGAAAACATGAAAAAAGTGCTCATCGACACCCCAAAACGATATTGCTATTTTGAGAGCCTCGGTTATCAAAGAGTACTTTTTCTTACAGTCTACAAAAGGAACAATCTCACTTACTTTAAGACGAGCGCGGTGCAGTCTACTTTATCAGTAATTGCCAGCGTTGTTTCTGATTCGTCGTCGGTAGCTGAGTCGCTATCATCATCCCATTTAACATCATCGTCAAATGACCTTTTGCCATCTAGGAAAAATCAAGGTAAAATTAATCATGACTTTGTAGTGTAAAACGTTATATAATACGCACATAATTAAATTCATCGCGATACTTTCGCAATGGGTATTGATTTTGTAAATGCTTGCCTATCTTTGGTGTTTTACTACTAACTCTGCCCACTGGCGTACGGGGGGGGGGGGGCTTGAGAGGCTGCTACCGACCTAAATGTGTTATGCGTGTAAATAAAGAAAATACAATTAAATATGAGCAAATTCGAAGGAAAATTAAAACAAAATAATAAAATTAAACAAGTAAAGGCAAAGGTTTTACTTTTCACGTGGATTAACCCTTGCCATTTTTATTTAAGTGGCAGCCTTGCGAGACCGATCGTATCAAGGTAAAACACACTTTAATTTGGTTTTAAAGTGCTTTTACTATGTTATATGTTTCATACCCCTCCAATCAAACATCCAAAGAGATGTACTTACGAATTTGAGCAGATAGCTCTTTTAAGGCAGCTTCGTTGTTCCAGTCGTGCCATCCACGGTTGTCTACTATAATCAGGTCGTCCGTCAATTTGATCGGCTCTCGCGTCATGGTATGTCCACCCATTACTTGTGACTTTGCAGTCGGTATGTACCTAGTCATCTTCTGCCCTGACTCCTTAGTTGTATTGACGTACTTTATCAACGTGTTGATAAAGGAAGACTTCCCTGCGCCAGCAGATCCGACAAGCATACAGCAAAATGTAGTGTTTTCCATGATTATGAGATGATTGTCCAACCTTTCTTTAGATAAAGCACGGCCCTATACATAGGAATTCTTGACGAAGTGATACTATAAGCGTTACATTCACTTATAACTTTGCAGACATCACATTACTGACTGCATAATCATGACGCTATGCTTTCAATATTGCTGCAGGTCACGCCTACAAAGTCATAATTTGAATACAAAGAATTTAGCTTTGACCCGCCCCTTTCCTAAAACCGCTAACATCTATATGAGGATATAATATGTAGCAGCGACGTGGTTCAGCCTCATTTTACATCGTAATTTTACCAGTACAATGGCTGGAAAATGTACGGTTGCAGTTTGTTCTTTAGCTCGATCAGACGATGAGTATAAGCACTTCATATCGGTTTTGAAAGAAAAGTGTGGAGTATGCGTAAAGTACGTACACATAACAAGTAAAATATTGGAAAATGGACACGAATTCTCTCAATACGATGGTGTGGTATTAATCCATTCAGTCCACCGGGGCAGAATGTCCCTAACAGACGTAAGAGATGCACGCTATGAAAAACTTCTCCTTCACTGGAAGAATCTCCTCGGTAAGTACCCCAGGATTGAAGGTAATACAAAGTTTTGGTATGGGCTCATGAATTTGGTTCAAATTTATATATTGGAAGCATGTGCGCTCCTTCAATATTAAGTGATCATCGTCGCGGTTAAAATCGAGTCTAAAGTTATGAAATTGTAAATAATAAACTATTTATGTTGTAGAGCTCCCTCTCAAGGTCAAGATATTGATTTAGCTTTAAAATTATGATATTCATTTTTTTCTCAAAAGCAGAAATCGTATAGGGGCTAAATTCTCTAAAGTGTATAATACATCCTCATGGCAGAATCGCTATTCTGCAATTTTAAAAATTTCCCAATACTTTGTATTACCTTTAATCACGATGTTTGTTACTGTTAGTATGGTAGTCATGGTAGAAGGTTTTCTTAGACTTTCCGACTTGCCCTAATTTGACGGGAGAGACAGGGAAGGTGTCCTGGGGACCTAAGTTACTTTAGCTTAAAGGAAACCAGAACAAAAATATTGTTGTATTTACTTCCAACAATATAAATTGACTTCATGAACCCAGTAGATAATATTATATGATATAATAATAATATATATACTGCAACAATTTGTTTTGGGAATACTTTTTCTCTAGTTATCGAAGTTAGTGGTCCTACCGCACAATAATTTCAATAAGCTAAACGGTCACTACACCATTTTGGAGGCCATCTTAGATTCCTGAATGAAAAAACAAAAATGATGATATCATTAGTATTAGAGATCAACGTGATTAAACAAAAGAGAAAAAAAAAAGTGAAAAAACGATAAAAACGTTCTTTTCAAAACGGTGCGCCCTGTCACTATTTACTTTTATTTTTTCATGTATATATTACAATCATATATTTACGCAGAATAACCTGTTCATCCATAAAACAAATTCATGTCATATATCAGTTTGAAAATATTGTGAAGAAATAGTGAACTAATATTACATAAAAATAGACTCACTGTAATTTCGGATGATGAAAGTGGCGATTTCGTCAAAACAAAATCCCTTTTTATTACCTACGCGAATCCCCATTTTCGTGCTTGACCTGAGGTGCCTAGCTAAACCTTAATTTGTAGGTGATGTCAATGCCCTATACCAGTTTATAATCATTAGGCCTACACTGCCGATATTATTGTATACCAAACAAAAACGAAACCTGCTACATTACTTTGTATGGAGCACGGATTAACACATATTTCCAAATAGATTGAAAACATTTATACGGAATACGAACAAGCAGTAGATAAGGTATGAGCATAAGTGTTTGGGAGGTTATTGTCACGATCCTGCTTGATGTGCTTGTTTTGGTAAAATGATCACTTGAAATGCACTAAATCCGTGAAGTGATACATAAATACAAACACTGACTAGGGATTGTAAGAATGTTTGGAATCGCTAGATCAATATTTTTTATTTTAACGTGGTATAATCAGGCTTGCTTTTATGAGTAGCTTTTGTACCATGCAATTTCGATGTGAATACATTTGAGACGGAAGAAAAAAATCAATAGACAAAGTTCTGAAAGGGAGCAGTGTTGCCAATTTATTCTTCCATCAGTTGTTCCGTTCATTTCCCTCCATGAAAACCTTACCAATAAGACACAAATGAAAGCATCATAAATATATGTGGATAATAGCATCAGTTATAATCTATAATAACAATTTCATATACATTTTTCACCATCTTCAAATGTTATGGCATACAAAACAGGTTATATTTTAACTTGACCTTATTTCAGCTATTGCCTATACATTTTATGCCCATACAAGAATGGAAGCGTACAATGCATGGTCGATGGAGCCATTGTCATGTAATCTACGCTTGCTACACAAAGATAAAAAACGAATCCATCTATTTGCACCTCTATCATACAATATGTCGTAAAATACATCATTCATGTAAGGAACTTACCTCTTTGCCTCATTTATGCACTAAATTGAAATACCAGACTTCCAGGATGCCCCGGAATTTGAGCAATTCTGTCCTCAAATCAGTCCCATGGTTTCACTGTTTGACTGTAGGATGAGTTAGGCACAGTGTGGCGCTATTTCAATATAGCATTTGAGGACCTTGAATGATATTGCATGTGCAATGTTGAGCAACATACAAACATACACATATCAATATGAGATTGAATGTATCATAACAAAGGGAATATAATGAATTTTGCTTGTATCGGCTGGTGAGAGGCATCCGGCTGCAGTGACGTTGGTCCGGCATTGCACGAATCTCGCCGCGTAATTAGGTTACGACGAGATGTGCCCGGTGGAATCCATATTTGAAATTTGAAAGTATGTTATTTTACGAAAGGGAAGTCATATAGCCGATTATAAGCACATTTTACTAATGATTTCAATATGCAAAGCAACAAAGACATTGGTCGATAATTTTTGAATAAATGTATATGCAAACACTTATCATACATTTAAAGGTAATACAAAGTTTTGGGAAATTCTGAAAATTGGGTGGATAGTGAATCTTTACAATTTTGATATTGTTGGATGCCTCTGTAAATGTATTATAAGCACTAAAAAAATTATCCCCTAAAACACTTCTCTGTTTTCGAGAAAATTTGAATATACAAATTTACCGGTGCTCCCGGTAAATGTTGATAAAATTTCAAATAGCGCCTACGGCCGTACAGTGGTAGCTGCGACCATAACAATCCCAGAATATGTAGTTGTGATATATAGTTTCCAAACGGGAATAGCTAATGGGTCGATTTTAGTCAAGAAACATTGTTTCATAGCTAAATTGATATCTTGACCTTGAGAGGGAGCTATACAACATAAAGAGTTTATTATTTATAATTTCATAACTTTAGACTCGATTTCAACCGGGACAACGATCAATGAATATTGTAAAAACGCAGATGTTAATTTGAACCAAATTCATAACCCCATACCAAAACTTTGTAATACCTTTAAACTATTTTCGTTCCATCATCATAGGTACATAAAAAGCAAAAGAAAACATATAAACAATCAATCTCAAAAATATGAAAATCAACTTATACATGTATAAATCGAATGAATTACAATCATATAGACAGCATGATATGAAAAGCTTTGAATTACGTTAACAGATATTATGATAAAAGCAAATGGAAGTCCTTACAGGATATGTTATAAATGTCACTAGCTAAAGCTACATAAATTGAATATTAGCCATTGTGTCCTTGTTGCAACCAACATCAAATTCTGTAGAACTTTGCAGGAATTATGAATATGCCATGTATGTCCTATCTGTGAAATTTAAACGTTAGCAGTGTCCTAGTATTCAATTTATGCAAGGAAACCCGTTTATTTTCTATACTTCCCTGTCAGACACTATTGAGTGACTGACTGACATCTCTGTTTCTTTGGTAATAACACATATGAAATGAGCTGTAACAGGTACATGAGCATTATTTTGTCTACATCATTAACCCACAAGCTTGTAATGGTCAAAACTAAACTGATTGAATCTTTGTGCAGCACGAAACGTAAGACCATTCGGTACAAGGGGCTGAAAATCAGACTATTACTATTACTATTACTATGTTGATTCAACAACGAATGGTTGTTATTTTCCCACAACAAGCCATTTTCAAACCCTTTCGTTTTGAGCGAAGTTCTAAATAAATATTTTCTTTCATATGCCGTTGGAATTGAACCTTTTCATTTTTTTTTGACCTGCAAATGGGACATAGTACCTTTAAGTTCGGTTGCATTCATAGTACAATTATCATGAAGCATAATACTAAAAGGTCTTTCCCATTCTTTAATTTTGAGATTAAGCTTACAACCCTATCAAGAATGGTGATCTCACCTAAATAATAAGATCTAATCAGTCGCAACGGGACCAGCCAAAGCTAACATTTTTGCTCGCTCACTCCGCTCCCTCGCAATTTAAACTTCACAAAATCACACACAATATCAAACTATTGTGCTCATGCAGCACATGGGGCCAGGGGGGAACCAAAGTGCGCCAAAAGTCATTTTTGTGATTTTTTTTTTCTTGCCCAGTTGAAAGATAGTACATTGAAGAATACCTCAGTAAAATATTTAATTCCGGTAAGCACAATAAGGATATAAATTTACTCCTCTTAACAGCGAAATCCTACATATTCACAGTTTTAGTGCAAAAGTGATTGATTTTTTTATAAATCTTTAAATTTTACATGAAGTTCTGAAGTTATTGATCTTAAATTGCTCTCACATATTCCTGATAGTTCATTTCACTGCATGAATAGGTAAACAATTGGATAGCAACATAATATTCATGGTTTATTGTAGGGTAATTCACTGGAAAATGGACTAATTAGCCATGTTTTTAATAAATCCAGCGGAAATGTTTAGATTTCCAGAGATTTACGCTTTAATGTTATTACCACCATTTTGTCTGAGGTCTAAGCTTTAAATTAATACCAGATTTGGCTGCCGCCTTCTGCCTATTATAATACAGCCGATTTCCCTGCCACATTGCCCCAACAAATGTGTTTAGTTTGGTCCAAGGCTGAATCATGGAGGATTCGCGTCCATAAACTACGGCGCGTGGGGCCGCGTGACATTGTTCTGACATCACGGTTCAAATTTAAAACTAAAGGCACTAGGTAACGTTGTTCAGATGAGAGGAAATTGTGCTAAGGTAGTGACTTCAATGCTAAATGTACAACTAAAGATAATCTGAAAGCTTGAGTGAAAACAGACCATTTAATGATAAAAAGTGGGGAAATTAATCTGATCGATTCCTTTATTCTCCAAGCCATATCATTACAATTTGACTACATTGTAGGTGAATGCAAACTGTCACAATGCAATAAATTGGCTCTACATACCATTCCCTACATTCAAGTGTTGACATATTTTTAAAAGCCATTCGTCTTCTTTGTGCATGGCTGATCGTCAACAAAACGGAGTTAAGTCTTTTGTCAACTATGTGTGTTGCTACGGCAGGCAGCCAGGGAAAATGAACTCGTTTAATCAAATTATGGAAATGCAAGCATTACTTTAAACAAACAGAACTTTGTTAGTCCTGGCTCATTTTTCCTGATTGAGGAGTCATATGAAAGGGCAGAAATTGAACTTTTTAGGAATGTGATTTTCTCTTTGAAATTCAGATACCGCCCGCCAAATGACTTTCTGGTTTTCTCTCTTCAAATTGTTTTTAAACACTCATGTGTGAAATATGCATTATCTGAGTAGCATCACATGAAAACGGAGACTCTAAGCTTTCCAAATATGTATCATTCATTAATTATGGTTGTTATTAAGTTATGATAAAACATCGATACTTCTCGGTTTCGTTTTTTCTGGGACGCACTGTATATAAATATATATATATAGCGCCGATCGATGTATCTAGACGTACCACCTCATTTCCGCATGCCGGGTCTCATAATTTAGACTTGTATTTTGAATATACATGCATTAGTAAATATTTTGATGGCTGTGTCCGGCGAAAAAGTGCCGTTAGGATGATTAGGAATATATTAAAATTCACATTTACATTACAGACATACCGATTCAATAATTCAAATATCGCCATGTTATGACAAAAAATTTGATGTGAAGATTTTTGAAAAATAGCTAGAATGATAGCGAGCATGATTAGGAAAATAATTAGTAACACTTACATTAGATGAATTCGATAAATATACAATCTTACTCAATTTGTTAAGTCAATCAGCTCTATCAATTTATTAATTCATTGGGGGAGGGGATGGGGATAGGGCTGGATACAAATTGTAAGTCTATTAATATTCTCGACGATTTGATGAGTATAAATAGATTCTTTTTGTATTAAAATGTGATGGCCAAAAAACATTATATACACATTTCTGAGAAGAAAAAAACATTGATTAACCGTTAGACACGTTTCACCAGTTACGATCTCAGCTCCCCGGTCTTGGACTCGCCGGTAGAATGCGGCTAGATGTGTCTACTAGACTTATATCGCCATGCGAGATTTGTCTTACAGACATGATTTCACGCAGACACATCTCGCCGCTACCTATGCCTACAAGCACTTGTGATAATATATATTCGTAGTAAAATCTCTGTTTTCAATATATTTGCTGTAAACTTCTTTTTCAGACAGTGTATGATATATAGGACGAAACTATACATTGATAAAGAAGGATTTATTTCACAAACATTAAACCCGAAATTTCGTGGATAACAGGACGTTTTTTCTAACAAGTTAGGCACAGTTCAATCAGTAATATATCGTGGTTGAAATCTTGCAATGTGTACAAGTTGTAAATTGTTTCCTTTCATTTCTACAGGTAGTGATCATGTTGCAGTCATTGTCACTGGGGCGGAGAGAAGCAATGACCTCGAGAAACGCTTCAAGGAGAAACAACCCACCGTAAGTCAGTGTTCCGCCCATGTCCTATTCTGTGAAGCTGGTGATCCTATGAATGATGAACGTGTGGCCGAAACAATAGAGTCCTTCATGAAACTTTTGCCACACCGACCTAAAGTTCGTAAAGTGCAGGCAAAACTCTCCAAGGCGACCACAAAACTTAGTGCAGATAATAGCGACAGAGAGACTGTGACAATTAAAGCTAAGAAGTTGAAATGTGCAGGAATCGATGTGAAAAACGGCAAAGACAAAATCCATGTTGAACTCATCATTTGCGCTGAGGGGTCTACAAGAAAGACCCTTTTGAAGACCCTAAGCGAAGATGATTTGAAAGATGAGGCAGATTTTCTAATTTTCCAGCAGAAAGCAGGTGAGTAGGAAACTACAATATGTAAAGATTTATCCTTACACCCCTGCTTCACAAACAGTGTTGTTGATGCAGGTGAGTAGGAAACTACAATATGTAAAGATTTATCCTTACACCCCTGCTTCACAAACAGTGTTGTTGATTTGATCATCCTTATTAGCTCTTCTTAGTTATTCTAAAATGTCTCCAATTTTTATTAGGAGGCCGATAGATCGTACATATTTTCAGAATATTTATGTTATGCAAGCTTATTTATACACCTTTCGAATCCATATAATTTTATTTGAAGGTTATATTTCATCTCAATTTATATAATTGCAAATTGGAAATATACATCGAAAATCCACCTCCATTACCAGATTGTCTTTAAGAATAAAAAGTTGAATAGTCACTGATGTTATAGATAGGATGCTGGTTATTGAATACGGCCTCGTAATTTTAACGTAGTTTCGTTGTTTGCAAGTTTGGTTCCAGTAGAAAGACATTTTAAAGTAGGCCTATCTACCTAATGTTGATCAGCAATGTTGGCCAGATTGTTGCTACTCATTTGCAATTTGTCCCAGGCAAGCCTTTTAGGGTGAAGGGACATAAACGTCTATTTGAACGGTAAAGTAAATATTTGTTGAATGTATTACCATGGCATTACTCGTCGCATGTGATCTTGCCATGCTATTCCGGAATTTTGCTCCGGTGTTGTTTTTGTTTGTTTGTATTTTTATATTATTTGTAGTAGTAGAAGTAGTGTTAATAGTAGTAGTAGTATTAGTAATAGTAGTAGTAGTAGTAGTAGTTGTAGTAATTTTAGTAGAAGGAGTAAAAGTAGTAGTAGTATTAGTAGTAATGGAATTAGTATTAGTAGTAGTAGTAGTATTAGTAGTATTAGTAGTATTAGTAGTAGTAGTAGTAGTAGTAGTAGTAGTAGTAGTAATCATAATAGTAGTAGTAGTAGTAGTAGTAGTAGTAGTAGTAGTAGTAGTAGTATGTTTTTTTAGGAGGGAGGGGGTATATTTGATTGACAGTGAAAGAGATGGCATTCATTTTGTGAGGCTAGACTTGTTATTAAAGTCATGTGTTCTACCTGCATAACAACTGGCGCATCTCCCGGTCAAGGCGTGTCACCCTCCCCCGATTCTAGATGTTTTAGTTTGTTCCAATAGTTTCTCTAACTTTGGTGATTTTGATGATGGTAATGAATATCGGCTGTTGCCTGTTTTGGGGTTTTCAAGAAAATGTATGAATAAGTATTTCCTCTTATAATTTTTAGTTCATGTGTTAGTGTATTTGTACCGCATGAAATTTATATTAGTGCCCCACTCCTTACGTTTATTATTAGGATAAACTGGCAACGCTACTTGCTCATTCCCTGACGGATGATTTATATTCAGTCGTTGAATTTACCTTTCTAAAGTTGTTTCCGTGACATAATTGCGTTGAAATGTGCCAAAACATAAAACACATCGTTTGGTATATTTAGATGGCTGGGAGCTACTTGAATCCAAGTCCATTGCCAGTTTCGATCCATCATCGGAGTTGATACACTGTGCCGTGTTCATCTTCAGGTAAGAAAACTGTCATTATTTCGTGTACCTTTCATTTCATTTATTTAATCACGTTAACTCGCTTCAGCCTAAGCTGGCGTTCATCGTGAACTAAATAAAAAAATATACGATTTATATTACAAACAAAAGCCAGTAACACAAAATAGCAAAACAAAAACATATGCAAAAAATTATCCCTTCAATAAAAAAATATTTAAAAATAATAGGCATTATTAACCTGAAAAAGAAGGAAAAAGGTAAAAATTGCTATACTCACCCCAAAAAAATTAACAATAGTAAATAAAAGTAAATCATTTGAAAATATATTTGGCTCTCCTCCCAATGATAAGTACCCCACCCCCCCCCCCCCCTCCGACGTTGTGTATCGCCTACGTAGAAAACATGATGTCTTTTATTTTACAAAATATATATATATATATATTCTTTATTGTTTTTTCTTTCTCCTGTGCTATAACGTTTCGTAGTTTGTAAGGCCCTAAGGTACTGAGAAATTATGTATGGATTGAGTATCTCAGTTTTCAGTTTCAGTTTCAGTTTTCAGTTTACTGTTTTTCATATTTCCCATGATACAAAGTTACTTAACAGCTGTTACAAAAAGACGAATTACACATATTTATTTGATAGTGAAATAGGACCGGTACTATACATGGGGATGTGCTTTAAAAAAAATCGTACAATGGATTTTGGTGTAATAATATAAAAAAATTGGAGCATCATTATTCATTTTTCTTTTAAATGTTTCTTAAGTGGTATCTTAATTCAAAAGTAGAAATAACTGATTTGGAGAAAATCTGGAGTCTTTCCTTAAAACGAGTTTAAGCACTTTATTGTAGAAATGTTAGGATTTCGTAAGTTCATGACCCCTACATTTCCATATACTTATCACAATAATCTAAATGGCATTATATGATGGGTTTATCAAACAATCCTGCTAGGCGTCGTGTAATATTTGGACGAATTTGCATTAGAATATATAAGTTAAATTAAATATTTCTTCTCATTTCGTTGATATCTAGGATCCAGTTTAAATTTTCGTTTAAAACGACGTCAAGATACTTGCACGAGGAAACAAACTCTCGGAGTAGATTTATTTTCTACTAGTAAATGTGTATGGTTTGGTTTCTTCACGATCATAAAATATCAAATACTAACATCACATAAAGAAACAAAAGACTAAAATATATTACAAGGACTATTTTACAAAAAAAAGCGAATGAAGAACATGAAATTAAAAGCGTATTTGATATTCTCTAGGTATTCATTTGAATTATTTCTCAATCCAAAGTTATCTAATTTTCGAACATTGAGAGGTAAGTCATTGTAAAATTTACGACCACAATATATAAAATACGTTTGCATGTTTTGTAATCGGCCTAGATACGTTCACCTTGTTTGCATTTCTAAAGCAGTATTCTAATTGTTTAAAAATAATTTTCTCATGCAAATAATGTGTAACATGATCATGCAGAATTTGTACATCAACAAATGAATGTGATTGATTTGGCGATTGTGTAAAGTCTTCCACTTTTGAATGTCTAAAACACTAATTTTCAAAATTATTATTCCAGCACGATTTTGCAATTTCTGTAACATATTCAACTGTGTTTTGTTCCCAGAGGACCCTAATATATCAGCATAATCAAAGTGTAGTAAAGTAAATGCTTTGTACAAAATCTTCAGACTGGATTATTCAAAAAAGAACTTAGCCTTCCAAGAAAGCTAATCATCTTACTAATTTTTGTGGCAAACATTTACAATATGAGCACTCCACTTTGATTCAGAGTCTACTGTAACACCAAGGTATTTTATATAGTTGACCTAGTCAATACGATTATGATGAATTTAAAGGTTTAATATACTGTCCGCGAAGCATCCGTTTGCTTCCTATTAACATGCACCCTGTTTTTAGTAAAGTCCGCATTTTCCCTCTTACGAGGTCTAACTGAATAGCGCGTCACGACACTCCCTCCCTTCCCCCCTTGTCTCAAGCATCCTCCTCATTATTTTTAGACACGCCTTTAAACAATGGAGCACCAGGAGTGACGGAGGCACTGTGCCAGACATGGGCGCCATACAAGGCTCCACTATTACATTATTATATCACCCTGTTCATTTCCATTTGTGTGGTATTATTTACAGGAATGGAGTTCCACCACATTTCACCGATGTCGACTTCACAGAGTTCGAAGAGATTGTAAACGGTGCGTATCTACCTGACTAAACCCTAATGATAATATTCATAGAAACCGTGTTACCTAGATACCTTTATTATATTTTTATCTTCTGACGCAGTACCTATTTTACAGAAGAAAATCCAAGTAACCCATAGTGAGCCAAATATATAATTAAACAACTTTTATTTGAATATCCTATTTCACTCGAAATATAATTTCTCGATCCCTGGTTTAAACAAATCCCTACAATACAAATTATGTCTCGTGCAGTTGCCGATTATTTCTCCTTCTTTTGTTCTCTAAATGGACAAAAAAGAAGTTGTTTTGTTTTTAACCAAAAAACACCTTCAAACCTAAGCCATTTATGAAACATCGAAACAGATGTTCATCTATTTTAAACAACCTATCAAAGTAACTGGGTTGTTCTTTTTTAATTGATATAGGTTTTGTCAACAAAAAAATCGGAGAGACTTTCAGACTTTCATGAGGGGTTTAAACTTACCCAGTTCAAATTGTCCTGACTTTGGTATACAAGGGTTATGGTGCGCTAACCTATTACCAGGCACTTGAATACCCTGTTAGAACTGACAAATGAAATAGATGAATTATATATCAACAGAAAGCTTTTAAACCAGTACGACTATGTGCTCCAGTAGTTTACAGGCTTGTTGAGGAATATTGGCCGGTAATTACCAGTCTTGGTTTTGTCCCCCTCCTTTGATGTTGGCCTTTTTCCAGTCGCAGTGAAGCTGACCACTTTGGGTTGAATGATCGAATATATGAGCAAGAATAGCACATAGAACATCTTCACAATAGACTTTTTCAGAAGAAAAGAAGGAATGTTGTCAGGGCCCTTTAATTCACTTGGCTAAATCTTCTTTATGGTGGGTTCCCACTGCCGATCGAACCAACCCGACCAAGCCCGATCAAGCCATCTTGACCTGGTCGGGCTCGGTCGGCAAGGGCGATCGGGGTCGGTCTACCTTGATCGGTATCGATCTGGCTTCCTACACGACAAGTTTTGGCATGTCAACAAATATCGTGTAGGGGTTGAGAAGGCAAGCGATCGTACAGTGATCGTGTATTGGTCGAGTAGAGGTCGTGCTGATCGGGAATCGATCGTATAGAGGTCTAGTTTGGTCGATCATCTCGATTTATACCCAACTTCTACAACATTTGGTTCCCAATCAACTCGATCAACAACTGTACCGCTTCACAATCGATACATGTGTGCCCTAAACAGTTACTCGACCGAACTCGCTCACTTCTCCCCTGCTTCTCGATCACATCCCGATCACTTCTCGACCGCACTCGATCTTTCCGATCGCAACTCAACCAAGGACACAATTACATGCTCATCTAATCACATTTTCTTCGTACCGGTATATTGCTACTAGTTAAGTTAATCGCTTCTAGAATTGGTAGTAACATGTGACAGCGACACGGCAGACGCGGATCCAGGATCTTTTCTTAGTGGGGGGGGGGGGGGGGCGAATTTCAAATTATGCGAGCCAAGTATTGGTACGTAATTGTGACACCGGCAGTGGCAAAAACCTTTTTCTTTTGGGGGGGGCTGGGGGGTAGAAGAAAAAAAATCCCCCTTACCCCACTCTTACATGCATGCCCCACTGAATGTTTCTCGGCGGGGGCCAAGGGTTGGAACCCCCAAAAGCACAAGGGGGAATAGGCATTTAATTACTGTCAGATGAGCATATTTTGATACCTTATTTGTGACACTGGCAGGACACAAATTGGTGTGGGGTCCAGGGGGCGGAGCCCCCTGAAGCTCAGGGGTTTTATAGATTAAATTATCGTCAGATGAGCATATTTCTATACCTTATTTGTGACACTGGCAGGTCACGAATTGGGGTGGGGTCCAGGGGGCGGAGCCCCCGGAAGCTCAGGGATTTGGGGCAATAAATTACGGTCAGATGAGCTTATTTTGATACCTTGTTTGTGACACTGGCAGGACACAAATTGGTGTTGGGTCCAGGGGGCGGACCCCCAGAAGCTCAGGGGTTTTATATATTAAATTATCGTCAGAATGATGAGCATATTTTGAAACCTTATTTGTGACACTGGCAGGTCGCGAATCGGGGTTGGGTCCAGGGGGCGGAGCCCCCGGAAGCTCAGGGATTTGGGGCAATAAATTACGGTCAGATGAGCTTTTTTTGATACCTTGTTTGTGACACTGGCAGGCCACAAATTGGTGTTGGGAGGTCAGGGGTTGTATACATTAAATTATCGTCAGATGAGCATATTTCTATACCTTATTTGTGACACTGGCAGGTCACGAATTGGGGTGGGGTCCAGGGGGCGGAGCCCCCGGAAGCTCAGGGATTTGGGGCAATAAATTACGGTCAGATGAGCTTATTTTGATACCTTGTTTGTGACACTGGCAGGACACAAATTGGTGTTGGGTCCAGGGGGCGGACCCCCAGAAGCTCAGGGGTTTTATATATTAAATTATCGTCAGAATGATGAGCATATTTTGAAACCTTATTTGTGACACTGGCAGGTCGCGAATCGGGGTTGGGTCCAGGGGGCGGAACCCCCGGAAGCTCAGGGATTTGGGGCAATAAATTACGGTCAGATGAGCTTTTTTTGATACCTTGTTTGTGACACTGGCAGGCCACAAATTGGTGTTGGGAGGTCAGGGGTTGTATACATTAAATTATCGTCAGATGAGCATATTTTTATACCTTATTTTTGACACTGGCAGGTCACGAATCGGCGTGGGTTCCAGGGGGCGGAGTCACAGAAGCTCAGGGGTTTTAGGCATTTAATTACGGTCAGATGAACATATTTCGATACCTTATTTATGACGCTGGCAAGCCACTAATTGGCGTCAGGGGTTTTAAGCATTAAATTACCGTCAGATAAGCATCCAGGTGCCTGAATTTGGGCCCAAGTTGAAATCCAAGGCAGAGTCCCCGGAAGTTTAGGGGTTTTAAGGCATTAAATCATGATCAGGGGAGCCATTTTTTTTTTTTTTTTTTTTTTTTTTGGGGGGGGGGGGGCGGAAATTTTAAAATTACGTCGTCAGATATTTCTTTCAGTGACTTGGGGGGGGGGGGGGAGGAGGAAGACTTTTTTGTTGCTTTGTTTAGCACACATTCTTTGTTTTTGTTGCCATGGAGACCGGGCCCCCGGGCCTACCTCTCCCCCCCCCCCGGGATTGGTCGGGGAAAAATGGGTGATCGGGCTTGATTGGGCTTGGTCGGGTTGGTTTGATCGGCAGTGGGAACCCACCATTAGGATCTTATTAAATTCGCTGATGTGAATGTTGATGTCCGGCATCAGGGAGTATTGAGTTGGAAGGAATGTAGGGAGAGGGACGTCATTAGGTTCTCTAGTGCAGACAGAGTGACAAGTAAGACTGTTACCCAGGTAGCCCTTTTTTTGTTGGTGTGAATAAAAGGCATCCAAAAATGTGTGTATGCGACTACACCCCCATTCGGCATGAAAGTATTGTCCAATGTTTATTATCATATTTTAAATATGACTGAATTATGTTATAAACATATAATAGTGAAACAAGCCCGTAAATCCCCTCACCCATTTGAGAATTTTTTCGGAGAGACCTTTCCCAGGGTAGGAAATCTCTATTCTAATAACTGACGGGGCTAAAAACGTAAAATTTCACATTTACAATCTGTATTTATTACTTACTCCAAATGTATGCCAATTTGAAAAGGGTAGAGTTAAAGATGTGTGTAGAGACAGGGACTGACCTTGGGGTTTTCCGTCTTCCTTTTTTCTAAGACTATGTTGACTTTGCATCACAAGGAATAGGACTCTATGAATTAGCTTTCACCCCATGTTTAAATTACGTATTTTAACGGCTTACACCTAATTACACATTAATCGATAATATATCCCCTGCAGGTACCAGTTTGAGATGCAATACTTCCATGTCAATTACTGTACAACGTTATTCTTTTCATGTTCAGGACGGACAAGCCCTACAGAAATAGAGGTTAGCGGGGAGGCCGATAAATCTTGTCTTCAGCAGCTGTTGAATGTTTTCCTAGAGTGCATATGCAATGATCATATTCTCACGGTATCTCCGGGAGATGTCAAAACTGCAAGCTCTCTGTCAGGAAATCAAACTCAGAGGGAAAGGGAGCACCAGTATGAGGCAACGCTGAAGAAAGTAGCAAGAGGTCGCATCCAAAAACTTAATGGAGATATACGTACACTTAAACAAGAGCTTAGTTGTAAGGAAAATGAACTAGCCACATGCGAAGATAAAATCAGCGAACAAAATTGTGAACGAAACAATATCCAAAGTGATATTGATGGAAAAAATAAGAAGTTGCAGCTTTTAACAAAAGACATAGCACAAGCGCAACAAAAGGTAAATGAAACAAGTAGAGAATTTCATACAAAGGACAAGGCGTTATGTAAGATGAAAGATGAACTAAATAGAATAGAGAAGAACAGAGAGCAAGTGTCAACAGGATTACAGGAGGCAGAAAGGGAAGTAAATCAATCAGAGAAGAAATTAGAGGATGTGATACAAGAATTAGAAGCCTATACAACTGCATTATCATGTGCAGGAGAGGAACTGAATCAAACAAAGAACAAAATAGAAGAAATATTAGCAGAATTACAAGCGTGTGAAATTGTACCAATGAAGGCAAAAATGGAAGTAAATCAAACAAAGAACAAAATTGAGGAAATATTAACAGAATTACAAAACTGTGAAATTGTACCAATGGAGGCAGAAATGGAAGTAGATCAAACAGAGAATAAAGAAGAGGATGTGATACAAGAATTAAAAGCCTTAAAAAACGAAAGAATGATGAAAGAAGAGGAACTAGATCAAATATTGAAGAAAACAGTGGAAGTGTTAACAGAAGGCCAAACCTTTGCAAATGAAATGGAAGTAAGTCAAGCAAAGACGAAAACACAGGAACAGTTAACAGAATTTGAAGCCCGTGTAACTGTACCAATGGAGGCAGATATGGAAGTAGATCAAACAGAAAATAAAGTAGAGGAATTGTTAAAAGAATCAGAAGCCTTAAAAAACGCAATAATGAAG